AGCATTTGCATCCCAACTTAAAATACAAATGGGAAGACAACTGGAGTGTGATGGTTGCAGGACTCTTAATTAAAAATCTGCATTGACTAAGAAAAAAAAAACACACACACTGCGTACCCAAACCTCTTAAGACCCTGCACCTTCTATTACAGAAAGTATATAATGAGGCTGAATATTCTCTCCTAATACCTCTTCATACATGTCTTATATTTTTCCACTGTAATGAAGACCCTTTTCTTCTGGTAATTTTTGCTAAAAGGATGTTTCAGTATTGTGCTTACAGTCATCATCATCATCAGCCCAACTATGCTCATGCAAGGCAAAAACCTCTACCATGTTCTGCCAATCAACCCTGTCCTGTGCTTTTTGCTACCACGTTACACCTGTGAACTTCTCAATTTAATCTGTCCGCCTAATTTTCTCTCTCCCTTTCACACGTTTGCCTTCTCTTGGAATCGAGTTATAACCAGTGCTTATCCTTCCTACATGCTACGTACCTCTCCCATATTCATTTCTTCTTGATTTCTACTATAATATTGACACACCTCGATGGGCGCATGAAGAGGAAGAGGTGGAAGGGGTCTGGCTCACGAGCAGCTCGGTCGCCGGTTTTCTGGCTCTGAGCTGTACCGATCTCAACCATTTCCTGTAAATAAACGCGTTCCTTCGTCACAGTTGTGGTGGAGGTGCTGGGTAAGCCAGCTACTGTCAAGCGAGACCGGAGAGCAGCCGTCTACTAACGACGGAACCGCAAGAGCACGAGCTTCGCCGCAGCCGTCGACTAGCGGGCTTGCCACCACTACCTCAAGATATGAACTTGGACGGAGACATCCAGCAGCCGGTCGCGAGGGCGCCGTCTTTCCACTACCGAGAGCCACGCACATTTACAGGAAAACCTGGCGATGACGTTGAAGAATGGCTCAGCCACTATCAACGGGTGAGCCGAGCCAATGGCTGGAATGCGGCCAGCCAGTTGTCCCACGTGGGTCTATTTCTCGATGGCAGTGCTTTAGTGTGGTTCGAGAATCACGAAGACACCTTGACAACATGGGACCAGTTTATGGAGGAGATCAAGAAGTGCTTTGGCGACCCTGCGACGAAGAAGAAACGTGCAGAGCAAATGTTGTCGCAGAGAGCTCAAGCTTGTGGTGAGACATGCAGAACCTACATTGAGGAGGTACTGAAACTGTGCAAATGTGTGGACACCAACATGACGGAAGAGGACAAGGTGGGCCACATTCTCAAAGGAATTGCGGAAGACGTCTACCACTTCCTTATCGGCAAGGAGAGTCTTGAGTCTGTGGCCGATGTGATTGGGCACTGCCGAACGTTTGAGGCCCTGAAGACTCGCCGCATCACTACGAAGTTCGGACGCCTTGCCAATGTTACGACCGTCGCCACTGTCGATGTGTGCCAAGACTCCGTGCCTACCGACCTTTCGTCAACGATTCGCCTCATTGTACGTGAGGAACTTCGTCGTCACCTTTACGCGCCCTTGAACGCCCGAGAACCACCGTGCGATACACCGTCCACAAGTATCAATGCTACGAGTTTCGAGGAGCGCAGCTATTCCAACCGCGGCCCTCAGCTAAGGGCTCCACCACCGGCGTCTTCTTATGTAGAGCCGCCTTATGCTCCCCACAGTCGTTACGGCTACAACAGCCATCCACCTCCTTTTGCGTCTCAGTGGGAACAGAGCGCCGCGTACCCTCAACATCCAGCGACGTTCCCTATGCCCCGTGAACGGCCCGTCTGCTACCAGTGCGGTGTCCGTGGACATATCGCCCGATTTTGCCCAATGCGACGTAATCCACGTTCGACATTCCCTCAGAGATCCGCGACGTTTGCACAACGAAGCCAACGGCCTGACTACACCTACTGGCCCCCCAACCCAACTGACGAGCGGCACGCCTACCAGCCGATCAACCGGAGTGATTCGCCCGGATCTGTGCGCAGCTTAACGCCGCCCACCACCCGTCCACCTCGGTCACCATCTCCACGGCGCCGGTCACGAATGTCGTCTCCGCCACCGGGAAACTAGCCAGCGCGGCCGACGGAGGTGAGGTCGCTGGACGTACCGATTTTCATCAAAGAATGCCTCCACCAGTTTCTATGCTTCAGAATAAGGTTCAGGTACTTGTTGACGACGTTCCCACGATGGCATTGATAGACACTGGCGCAAGTGTTTCCGTGATGAGTTTAGTTTTTAAGCAACGACTAGGCCGTAAGGTTATGTTTCACTGGGACAAACCTGCCACATTTCGGGCAGTGAGCGGCGCATTCTTGCGTCCTGTCGGCGTCTGCACTGCGTCTGTTAGTGTTGCCGGTAAAACGTTCAAGGCGGAATTCACAGTACTGGCTCAATCAACGCATGACGTTATACTTGGCATAGACTTTTTGCGAGAGTGTCGTGCGACCGTGGATTGTGGAGCAGGTGAGGTTCTGTTGTCTACTCTCGCCCAGCAGCCTGATTGTGAGAAAGGTAACCTCACTGTAGCTAAAGATGTACTTCTGCCAGCGTGGTCCACGGCCAGCGTACAAGTGACCACTTCGGAAACCAACTCGAGTTTGAATTCACGTGACATAGTGATTGAGCCGTTGCCTGTAGCTTGTCTCAAGAAAAACATCTTTGTACCACGATGCATTGTATCTCTCGCAGACGAGACGGCTCAATTATGGGTGATAAACAGCTCACCCGAGTCGGTTGTACTACCGGCTGGTATGCGCCTTGCCCTGTTCGAAAAGCAGAGCAGCACCTGCATTGGAGCTTTAAGCGATCTTGAAAGGGCGGGTCCGGAAACTTCTGGTATGGAAGCTGAATTTTCAAAAATGGTTAGCAAGTCCATTTCCTCACAGAAGCGCAAAGACCTGGTTGCACTGCTGGCGAGACATGCTAAAGTATTTGATTTTGCACGGAAGGTGCCTAGGGCTCAGATACCGACCACGCGCGCTCGTCACAAGATCGATACTGGCTCTGCTCATCCTCTCCGACAAAAGCCCTATCGCGTGTCCGTGTCCGAACGCAAAGTTATTGCTGAACAAGTTGGCGAGATGCTAGCCACTGGTGTAATTCAAGAATCGTCAAGTCCGTGGGCTGCGCCTGTTATTTTGGTAAAGAAAAAAGACGGGTCCTGGAGGTTCTGTGTTGATTATCGGCGTCTCAATTCTATAACCAAGAAGGACGTGTACACGTCGCGTCGCACGCCTTCGAACCATTGCATCTCAACAGCGCTCCAAGACCCGGTACGACGCCCACCATCACTCCGTTGCCTACACAAAGGGTGACCTGGTGTGGTTGTGGACACCTGTCCGCAAACGTGGTTTATGCCAAAAGTTTCTGGCCCACTACTCCGGACCATTTGTAGTCATTGACCGTCTCAGCGACGTCACATACGTCATCTCCGGCGTCACAAGCAATGGTCGGCGCTCTAGCAAGACACAGCTGACACACGTCGCGCGCCTCAAGCCATATCACCACCAACCTTCCTATTGACTCGCCCAGTGGGCATCGTCTGCGAACGGGGGAAATGACACACCTCGATGGGCGCATGAAGAGGAAGAGGTGGAAGGGGTCTGGCTCACGAGCAGCTCGGTCGCCGGTTTTCTGGCTCTGAGCTGTACCGATCTCAACCATTTCCTGTAAATAAACGCGTTCCTTCGTCACAATATGCTTAACCCCCATTTGTTCTTTGACCCACTCTGCTATTTTCTTGGATCTTAAGGGTACAGCTATAATTTTTCTTTCCATCACTGGCTGTGTCGTCCTCACTTGCTCGCAGTTGTGTGTTCAAAGAAGAGCATTATGCCACCAGAATTTTTTTCAATTTATTCATTATGAGCTGAGGAAACGAGTGTTTTGAAGCGGCACTAAACTATGATGAGAGGAGGCAAGCTCGAAACCCTTACTGCTCACCCCTTTGCAAGCCAAGTTTCTTCCCTTTCCTCTCTGGCATCCAAGCAAATGGTCATGTGCACATGACGTCCCCGAGCACGCGAGTGGCGTTGTTTTGTTGACCAGCGTTATTTTGTGGTCTACTACCTGTTTTGCAGGATGGATACCTCGGTGTGCACTCGTTTGGAAGCACTGGCTTACATTGAATGCTCGAATATGCACGACCATTCAATTTCGTTTGCAAGGCTGGCATCTGCTCGGTGCGCTAACCGCGAGGGCATGAACGCATGTGAAATGCAGGCACATTAGCCCTACATCTCATTACAATTCACAAGGGGAAAATGAAAAAACGCCCACATTCCCTTTCTATTTAAAAAAAATATTTTTATTCACTGTAAGTTTTATTTATCTATTCAAGCAACAAATTACACAAGCTTACATGTGTGAAATAGTTTTTGCCCTGTCACATGCTACTTGTTGGCGTCGTCAAAGCACAGTCGTCTACATAGAGGACCGACGTCATAGCACTACCGTCTACGTAGGGTAATTCTTACGTCTGAATCATGCTCTCATTCTCTGGGTGCGCGCCTGTGAAAGGAAGGGCAAGCAGCGTTCATCTTGAAATTTGACTTATTTCCACGGCACGCACATTGCAAATTTTGGCAGACGTGATCGGGAATGCCCCATGTATGCATTACACTCGTCGCCTCAAAATTGTCAAATCAGGTGAGCCGCCCTTTAAAGGTGAAGCTTAAGGGCCCCCCAATTTTTCATTTGACTTCATTGCAGGATGTTTTCAAATAGTCTGGAACAGTAAGTGTTTTAAATGTGTTTAGCATGAGTGAGTGAACTTCAGGTCTTTTCAGTTGATTTGGATCAGTGAGGTCAATATAAGTCGGGAAGCAAATTAAGTTTTGTTTGGTCAGTAGAGGTCTACTATATCACTGTGATGATCTGCTGGCTGTGGCTTTGTAGAGTTACTGGGAGGATAGCAAAACAGTCAGAGTGGACAGTAGATGCTACAGTCATATTGAGTGTGCACCTCTTGTAAATGCTGCAGTAGTTCTTCACAATGCTATAGCATGCTTTTTTTTTTTTTTTTTTGTAGGAGTGGTCACCCTTGGTTAGCAGTAAAGCTCAACTTCGGGCACGTCATCTGGCTAATCCCAAGGATGTCGAGCCCATTTTTGCCAACTCTGCCACCGAGCAACTTGAGAGGCAATTGTAAGCAGGCTAATATCAAATTTTTGCTTTCCAGATCTTAGTTTATGTCACTAGTAAATTACTGCGAACTCTTATGGAATACTGGCACGCACACAGCCTTGCAAAAGCTCTGTCTTTTAAAAGAAAGATTCCTGTATCATTTACAACATAGTCATATATCATCTTTCTACATAGTTCTAGAACTTCAAACTGCTGATATTCCAATGGTTTTTAATACTTAGGACTTATGCCTAGTTCTTGGATATAAATACAAAATAAAGAACAATATGTCAATGCTAACAGATATAGCAGAGTTAGCCAAATACTTTTCTGTGTATTACATATAGCTTGTGGATAAATTTGAAACCAGAACACCATATACAAATTACAGGGCCGAGATACTGAGAATATATTTACCCTCTGTAGTAAATTTTTTAAAACAAAATGGTTTAGATAGATCGTGTCATAGGTTTGTGCTTCTTGCTTTCTTCATGAGCTCATATCAAAAAATGTCAGATGTGAAGTTTGTCTTTAATGTAATGTGTTTTAATTTTTCTCGCGCTTTTTTCTCTAAATGTTGTGTGCTTGTCGCATACTATATATTTTTTTTATGATCATGTACAAGGATGATGTATGCTCTCTTAGTGCTTATGCTTGTGTGTGTCAATTTATGTATGCCATCACTGCATGCTGCTGAACTGTAATCAGCTGGGAAGCTTGGCAAAGCTAGAAGGAACTTTGTTTCTCCTGGCCTCCACTTCCTGAGGTAGTAAAAGTGACTGACCTCGGAAGTAGTGATGTGCACAGCCACAGGGACCTTTGCATACAGGGGTCAGCAGGGAGCCAGCCCACTGCTGCGGGAGCAGCTGGTGTTTACCGACACGGAGGCCCAGCTATATTATTTCAGCGTTGAAGGAAATGTCGTTCGAGACTGCACTCGAAATCCGCCTGAGGTACATGCTATTTTTATTTCTTTTTTTATTATTTTTACTGACTTGTTTTTCTTTTTACATGTGACCGGATTTCACTGAGTAAAACTGTCACGTCTGATATATATTACGTTCTAAACAAGCTGAACCTGACCGTATCGGAATGTTGCAGAATGTTTTCAGTTCTTCTAATCAGACTGCATACACGGTCTACGCAGCAGTCATTTCCTGATGATACATAAGCAATACCATCTTTATTGGAATGAACCTTGACTTGCATAAATAGTTGACACAAGTTATTCACTGATCAGATTGTCAATGACTGACTATAATGCTTGCCATTGTCATTGTATTAAGGGTTTCATTTTGCTGGGTACAGGTTCGCTCAATAAAAGGCTAAATTTTTATTAATTTGACTACTTTTTTCTTCGCTCTCAAGACCATGTTGTGATATAAATTGCATTTCTTGGGCTAATGTGACTGATATCGAATGGGCAGACAATCTTTTTTTTTACTGTGACATTGCCCCCACGCAAGTATACACGTGCGTGCGAGTGTTCTCACACAGATGCGCGCAGCCACTGCAACACATATTCAATGAATAAATGTGAGTAAACATAACTTAATATGTTACAACAGTAGGATTGTGGGCCTCTAGTACTAAAGCTCGATGTTCGAACCACAATGCCACAGATGCGTGCCTCGTCAGGCATATTGAATGGCTTTAAAAGTGTTGGACATGCAAGCGCGCAAGTTCGTACGCTTGCCATGTATTCAAAAACGCTCGGGATTTCCTCAAGAATTCCTGCAGGCTAACTGAAGCGTTAATATGCTTTCAGAATTTTCCCAACTCTTACAGAATATTATTGAGCTACTGTTATATAGTTCATGTAAGATTTTTACTAGCATAGTATAATGATATCCGTCACTTTCTCAGACATATTGAAATTACCTTTATTGCTGTTATCCTCACCTGATAACTATTGCACCCAATGAGTTTATGAGATGGAGTAACGATGAGCTGATGTAAAATTCATGTATCTAGCATTTTGTTGTTGCCCAGTTATTACTATTACATCTTCTGCCAGCTGTGTGCACACGGCTGTCTGTGTTATGAATATAGGCTGAATTATGTTTATTCGACGAGGTGTCTCCTGACGGGAAGAGTACCAGAGTCTTGGAAGAACGCTAACATCATCTTAATACATAAGAAAGGAGATGACAAGGACTTGAAGAATTACAGGCCGATCAGCTTGCTCTCTGTAGTATACAAGCTATTTACAAAGGTAATTGCTAACAGAGTAAAGAAAACATTAGAATTCAATCAACCAAAAGAACAAGCAGGATTTCGAACAGGCTACTCAACAGTTGACCACATTCATACTATCAATCAGGTAATAGAGAAATGCTCAGAGTATAACCAACCACTATACATAGCCTTCATAGATTACGAGAAGGCGTTTGATTCAGTAGAAATATCAGCCATCATGCAAACACTGCGGAATCAGGGCGTAGATAAAGTATATATAAACATTCTGGAAGAAATCTACAGGGGATCAACTGCTACCATAGTGCTTCATAATGAAAGCAACAGAATACCAATCAAGAAGGGTGTAAGGCAGGGGGACACAATTTCCCCAATGCTATTTACTGCGTGCTTACAGGAGGTTATCAGAAGCCTAGAATGGGAACAGTTAGGGATAAGAGTCAACGGAGAATACCTTAGTAACCTGCGCTTCGCCGATGACATTGCATTGCTGAGTAACTCGGGGGACGAATTGCAACTCATGATTACGGAGTTAGACAAGGAGAGCAGAAAGGTGGGCCTTAAAATTAATCTGCAGAAAACGAAAGTAATGTACAACAACCTCGGCAAGGAGCAGCGCTTCGAGATAGGTAATAGTGCACTTGAAGTTGTAAAAGACTATGTCTACTTAGGGCAGGTAATAACCGCGGAGCCGAACCACGAGATTGAAGTAACTAGAAGAATAAGAATGGGGTGGAGCACATTCGGCAAGCACTCTCAAATTATGACAGGTAGATTGCCACTATCCCTCAAGAGGAAGGTATATAACAGCCGTATCTTGCCGGTACTTAGCTACGGAGCAGAAACCTGGAGACTTACAAAGAGGGTTCAGCTTAAATTGAGGACGACGCAGCGAGCAATGGAAAGAAAAATGGTAGGTGTAACCTTAAGAGACAAGAAGAGAGCAGAGTGGATTAGGGAACAAACGGGGGTTAAGGATATCATAGCTGAAATCAAGAAGAAGAAATGGACATGGGCAGGGCATGTAGCGCGTAGACAGGATAACCGCTGGTCATTAAGGGTAACTGACTAGATTCCCAGAGAAGGGAAGCGGGTTAGGGGGAGACAGAAGGTTAGGTGGGCAGATGAGATTAAGAAGTTTGCGGGTATAAATTGGCAGCAACAAGCACAGGACCGGGTTAACTGGCGGAACATGGGAGAGGCCTTTGTCCTGCAGTGGATGTAGTCAGGCTGATGATGATGATGATGACGTTTATTCAAACTTTTGGTACATTTTGTAGGTCATTCAGTAAGCACCTGGTTGAGGTAAACTGTTGTTCTTCTTCAAGAGCTTAAATTTAGCATCTGCTCTACGTATACAGTAGAATCTCGATAATACGAGTTTGTAGAGAGCACGCAAAATATTTATATCATTTCAAATTTGTATGAACCAAAAACAAGTTAAAGCTGATCATGAAGATGAACAAGAACATTATTCACTACTCGCTGAAAAAATTTCGTGATGTTTTTTGAACATTCCCGCTTTCATCATCATCATCATCATCATCAGCCTGACTACGTCCACTGCAGGACAAAGGCCTCTCCCATGTTCCGCCAGTTAACCCGGTCCTGTGCTTGCTGCTGCCTCTCAAAAAAGTGCCACTGGTTGCTGACTCATGCTTCTGCCGCTATAAGGTGCATTCACACTTGGCATCAAAGGGAGCAAAAGTGGCAAAACACATTGAAAATTCACTCGCTTCACAGCTTAATTGGTTGGAAAAACGCACTGCGAAGTTGAAAAAAATCAGTTCAAGATTCACACGCGAGAATTCAAGGGAAAACGCCAAAGCAGCCGCGAAACTACGTCCGCGCCTGTTGGAAATCTTCACATTCGTTCTGACCCTCGTGTACAGTATGTTCTACTGTTAGGGCAAACAAACCAACACATGGCTGCGGCCCGCGTGGCACGAATTGGTGGCGAGATATGCAAACGTGGCGCACGCGCATAAAAGTGCGAAGGTGGCGCTTGTAGGATTTCGTCTGCTACTTTCCGCTCCTGCGCTTGCGGAGCCCTTTCGTTTTTCCGCGGAGCGATTCATGCCGCCGCCGGTTTGTCGGCACCCCGTCAGGTAGTCAGCAGGCACATAAAAGGCCCAGCTTGCTTCTTGTGTGGTATCTCGCCAGTTTTGAAACCATGTGATTAACAACCACAGCGGTTGAATTTTGATTAAAGGTGATATACAATGAAATGCCAGTGATTATATCTAAAAGCACGTAATAATCACTTAATAATAATAAATGTTGGAATTTAACATTACAGAACAGAGGTTCGATTCTGAGCGACGAAGTGCAAGGTACCAGAAATCTCAACCACCTGGTGTTGCAATCAAAGTACACGGGCCTCGAATATTTCCACCTTCATTGATAATGCGGCTGCCACGGCTGGAATTTGATCCAGTGACCTCAGGCCAGCTGTCGGGTACCATAACCCCTATACCATCGTGGCGAGTTAAGAGAACACTTGAGGATGAAATCTCTTCGAAGAATTAATATGTAGTGATTCCTATGTTCTGGCTCTGGCTTGCTATATCCCAGCAAATATTAGTATTAACGTTCTAAATCTTGCGAGTTTTTTTATTAAAGATGCAACATTTGAAGAAGCTCCATATTTCGAATTGCGATAACATGCACTTTTATGAAAAGTACGGCGCTTCCGCAAATGTGTGCGCATGAGAAATGAAGTGCCTAAAAAGCGAAAGAAAAAGTTTATTCATGATATTTTTGTGACAAAAGATGGAGCAGGCCAAATCTACGGCATCTTAACGTTAAAAGAATGAAAAGCTTCGTTCAGTATCGGGTGATGTCACCACCAGCGTCGAGTACGGCCTTCATCCCTCCAGGCGGAGACATGTAAAGAGCTATCGTGAAGGATGAATCGCGTTTCAGCCGCCCACACTCTTCATTTACGGAAGCCCAGAGGTCATCCATAAATCTGACGTGGAGAGTTTAGCTCAAGAGAGAGAGAGATGATTCCATTCTGTCCCGCACAATTTCAATTAAGTTCAATCAGGTGACTGGGGGGAAGGGGGCACATAAGCACCGTCACGGTCTTCAGTGGCCTGCTTACCACAGCACACTGATGGTATTCTTTAGTGTAGAGCTCGACTATGAGAAGCCTTTCATCTTCAGGTGGTCTGGCTGTACCACATATAAAAGCTGGCACCGCCGAAAATTTGTTCAGCAAGGAATTACGCGCGCAGCTGTAGAATTCTGTGAAAGTGATAATGAAGCTCATCACTAGCGCAACCTATAGTGTCAATGCTCATGAAAATGTTAGTCGTAAGCTTAAATCTTCACAACGCTCGAACCAGCTTTTGATAACAGACAAGGAAATTGGTGCTTCATGCAATGAGCATAGCTGGCTTCTTCCAACCACTGAAACACAGTACGGCGTTAGCGTGCGCCGAGCGCTAGCGTGGGGAAGTAGCAGATGACGCAGGGCACGAACCACTCTTGCGATTCTGTGCGCACGCTCTGCGTTTCCAAATCTCGACAGCAGTTAACAGAACGCCCCATGGACCGCCGGCTGCGTGCTCGCGTGTTCCCCCTAACAGTGAACTGCACTGTACATGCCACCGCCACCGTCTTCGCCGCTTGAAAAATCATTTTTAAGCATTAAAATCTCTATCGAGTTATAGTAATGTGTGCAAAGCACTAAGAAAAAGTTCATATCTTTACAAACGTGTTTCGGGAGATATGTCAGAATAAATGAAATGAGCAGACCCAGCCGGCAGTGCAAAAGAGAGACACGAAAGGGCATGCCGACTCACTGCTTCTGCACCTTCTTCTACTTCCGGTGTTTGCAGTGATCGTAATCCATCTTGATGAATGCGTCTTTTTCAAGGCTGTGAGCTTTGTCGAGTTGCACAGATAATTTGCGATTGCACCGAGTCATCAACGCGAGCCACTGCATTCGCCGACACCTCGGCCGCCATCTTGAATGTAGGGCTGGTTGTTTACATTACGTGGTTTGAGATCTAGTGCAGCCGATGTAGCCAAAGCCGTAGCAGAAGGGCAATTCACTATCGCACGATGGCAAAATCGGTCGCGGATCAGTTTTTTTCGCCACGTTCACCTTACGGCATGTTTTTCTGGCCACTCTTCCAGCAATGAGACAACGAAAATTTTGATGCGTTTTGCTGTATTCGCAACCTTCGAGCCAAAGTGTGAATGGGCCTTTCTCTCACAGACAAGCCACAAGGCGCCGCTCGCGTGCAATGGTCAATCGCACATTTGTATCACCCGCAATTGCTGGGAAAACCGTTCGCATAACGCCGAATCACGGCGTATTTTATATATTGTAGTTAATCTAAAGGAACCTTATAATTTGTATCATCGTGAAAATCTCTTTAACCATAATCGTTTCATCGAGACTCTACTGTAATGCGAATTTGATACGCACAGCAAAGTGAGGTCGCATGTGAATAAAGAAGTTGCAAAAGTGGTCATGGTGCTTGCACATTTCACTGAGTCAGGTTCTTTCTCCGTGCAAAAGTTGGGCATTTATTTTAATTCTGTGTCGAAAAGTTCAATTTTTGCTTTTGGGTATTATGCCATTCCATCGAAATAATTTTCAAGTGAAAATTTTAACAATCAAAATATTATGAAGTAATAATTAATTAATAGATTTTGTGACTGATAACTCTTGATTGAAAGTTGCCTAATTTAGTAGAAAACAGCACGATACAACAAAGACAAAAAAATGAAACAAGTCTGTTGTGCTGTTTTCTAGTGTAACATTGTACCAACATGCTCAAGGGCATACACTTGAGAAGTATGAGCACAGGCTTTTTTCATCTCTTTGGACTACCGGGATCATGTGCATCTCAAATAGGGAAAAACCAGTTGCTTATACTGAAAAAAATATATATATAAGTTGGGACTTGAAGGTCTTCACTAGCATTGTCTTTTCACATATTTTGGTGGCTTCTAAGGTTCTGGAAAACAGTATGTAGATTTCTTAAAGCACTTCATTTTAGTAGTTTGTAGCGGCAATGCGGAAGCTGCATGGTCTGCTGCTAGGCAGGAAGGTGAGCACATCCTTAGGTTTATCTCTTTGCAGTTTCTTATATGTAGTACTCTCTGTCTTCTTGCTCACTCAGTGAGTTTATGAATGTTCAGCAAGCCAATGAAAACAGCAAAGTAGGATACCTGCTAATCTACCAGCGCTAGCCAAAATGCGGTCATGATAGTCATGCATCTTTCCTTCTTTCCTTTGACATCTGGCATGTCTTTGCCAAGCCAACACCCTGCTTTTTTTAGACTGTGAGAATGACTTTTTATTATTGGCATTTATTTTAAAAATTATAGTTTTTCTTGGGCATACTTCGACGCAAAAATTTTGGTCTGTCTGTCTGTACATTTTTCTGTTTGGCCGCCGTAACGATGCCTCAAACGGCACCAAACGAGATACCCCAAACGGCCTAACTCATCCGGAGCACCCACCAATATTCCTCAAGTTTCAGCATTCATACTTGTGCGCTGGTCAACTACAAAGCAATTATTGCGCATATCTGAGGCACCATAAGAACGCGTCAATATTTTGTATGTGTGTCCTTGCTAGAGAAGGCATACATAAGTAATTCTAAGAACTGTAGCGTTTATCACGCTGCGCTGACAATGCAACGCGATGCTCAAAAAAGGCAAGTGTTTCCAACACTTTGCCAAAACGACATGGTGGTGGCACCTGCCCGTCGCTTTGCGTTCTACACCTTATCGCCTTCGAGACAGGTGCACACGTCTTCTTTCGTTTTTGAAGATAACTGCCAGATAGCGCTCATATCTAACGTGCCTCGATGCACTCGTTTACCTTCGCTGCATGGATCGAGACTCTCTAGCGCAGCACCTCCAGAATACAATTAACCAATTTTCTTGCCCAGAACATCAAATAAATGTTTTCTTCACTCTCTCCAGCCGCAAGACTATCGTATTTTGACGACATTGCTGTTAAACATGCAAATAGGAGGCCAATTTTTCAATTTTATTTTTGTTTTAAAAATACATATGTGTTATAGTGCACAAATATGTGTTATATTCAATACAAACTGCATAACCTTTCAAATTACTGTGCCTCTAAAGCCTGAAAAGTGCTGTCAGTATGTTGCATGAATTTTATTATGTCTTATTATGCATTCATCACTGAAACGCCTGTCCATGCAAGTACTGTATCTTAGCGCACTAGGATGTGCACCTGCAGACCTTGTAGCTTTGGCTGTTCAATGCGAAACTATTGGAATTGAGTGTAGAGCCTAGGAATGTTGGGTACTCAGTCATATTACATGAGCTTTTGTCATATGTGCAGGCAGGAATGGCCAGTGTTACAAGCATTGCCTGGAAGAGTGACCACATTGTGCTTGGTGATGCTGAGGGTACACTCACAGTTTGGGATCTCAAAGGCAAAGTACTAAGGTACTAATCCAGTGTTCACCGATTGCTGGCAAAGTGCAGTATTTAGCTGCACTTTCACTAAGAATTTTGCAAGCAGAAGTAAACCTGTTTTGTAAATAGCCCTTATGATTACTTCATTGATCGAAGTGGTTTTCGTTGTTTTGGAATAACAAAAAAAGTAGTTTAAAGCAGAATTGTATTGGTTTTGAGTAGGAAAAGTTTACGTTCAGAGCATTGCAGTGTTCACATTCAGTAGTACGCGGTGTATGCAAATGATATGGCACAAGTCAACTCTTTCGTTACCGCTCCTACTCAAATCGATCACTGGTGATCGACATTTTGGATCGATTTTGACAGGTTGAATTTGTTTTTCGTGCACCAAGCACTTTCTAGTAGTTAGTCGAGCCACTCAGCCCTCAGAAGCAATTTAAATATTTATGTTTTGGCGAAAAAGTGTTTTTTGATATACCTTTGCGCTAACACTGTGCTGTGTGGTTGGGAGAATTCACTTGGCTGGCAAACTTGACAGAAGTGCATGTCCCTCGTGGGTATGCTACAGTAACATCAAAGTCCTGGAAGAATCTTTACAAGTAAAATATCAAATTAAGCTGTCAGCTTCACAATCTGACAGTATTGAGCAGTAATAATTGCCAGGAATTATGCCAGCTATTCAATAGCGAGCTGTTGCTAGGAGTCAGGGAAAATTTATTCTACAAAAAAAAAATATTTCCAAAGTTCTGCTGCATGTATAAAGTGGGGAGGTGGCCTTCTCAGCCAGTTTCCAGCAGCATTTGTTTCGCTGGTATCATTATATCGAGCACAGGACTGCATCTAGTGTCCCTAGTCGCTCCTGTTGGCATCGTCGTCACGAGCACATGGGTGTACACCTGCACTGCAAAAAACATGTGTTGCTGCAAACTGTCTTGCAACTGCACCTGAATTGAGTGAAGACAGGCTTAGAGTTCGAGGACGACTGCACCTCAGCTTCAAAATTGATAGCGATGATGTTGTGCATCAGCCTCAGAGATCCGCAGTCGCTCATGGGTTTGTTTTGTTTATGGCCTCATGTTGTCTTCTTCACAAGTGTGTAGCTGCTGACCTTTGTGCACACTCCGATAGCTACTCTGGTTCCATGTGCGAGGTTTTCACGTCGCTAGGGCGCAGTATACTGGTGCCAATAGCAGAACTTCTCTTCCCGACATGAAGGCCATCTGAGCGCATCTGTGCCCTGACTACGGAGCAGCGTGAAACATTTTAGAACTGTGCGGGATATGTTTGCCTCAGTTTTGAGAGTGGAATCACGTATTCTGTATTTTTGCAAACATTTTTTTTCTAGCATTGCATACTAAAGAATATGATGTTATTGATGCTTTTGTCCCCCTTTACATAATAATGACCATGCTTTGATGCTTGTGTCTCCCGCCCTTTATGTAATACCCTGGAAAAGGCCTTTAAGGGTAAAATAAATGATGAAATGATGACTATGTTTGGTGCATATGACATGTTATATATTAGAGCTGTGCGAAGTGAATTCAAATATTAAAGTTTGGGTGCAAGTCAAATAGGATATTTTTGTGAATACTTTTGGAATATTTTGGAGAGAAATTACAGATATGGTTGGAAGGAATCTCCTAGCGTGATTTTAGGCGATAGCCATATGAAAGTTTTTCTTTTGGCTCAGTTGGTGAAGCGCTGCAGGGGTCCTAGTTGTTGATATTTGTCAAGACTGAGGCCAGATTGTGTTTTTTTACTGATGTGCAACTAATAATGTGTAGAGAACAGATCACACGTTAAAGGAAAAGATGCTACGTTCTGAACCTCGGTAGAGGCCCAATGATGCGGCAGACAAGGGCATGCTTTCTTCTTATTCTGCCCCGTAGATATCAATGTATCGTTAAGTTTCTGGCAAAATTTTATGCAGTAGCGCTGCTCCAGTGACTCCATCATTTGCCTTGCAATGAAAAACAGACGAGAGCACTGCGCACTACCTCACTTAAACGCTGTGTCGCAGTGGCTGATGCTATTGGCAGGCGGAAAAAAATTCACGATTGCGCATGAAGGTTCAAGGTTAGCTGATGCAAGCGTGCTTGTTTCAAATCCATCAAGTGCTCATAAAAAAAAAATGGCAGATACTTTTCGAACAGACGTCGTAATTGCCCAAAATGTTAATTGCTATTTAGGTTGTCTGTGGATGGTGCCATTTAGTCAAATACGTATTAGATCAAAAATGTTCAAAAAAGCGAGCATCCCAAGGCTAATTTTTAACTGGTTTTTAATGGTTTGTGTTGTATCTAATCCTATTTCTGTCTCCGATAGTATCTTCTATTCTATTTAAAATAATGATTATAGTAAAATATTTGTGGTTGAAGTTATGTATGGGAATACTATGGTAATTATGACAACATAAGGATAGATCACCTTAATCTTGGTGATAAGAGTGTATAACTCCGACTATTATTCAGTTGAATTTACAATCAGTGAATAATATACAGTAATGTCAACTTATGCCTTTGAAAAACTTCCTGTGATTGGGAATTGAGGTGTTTCTTTTCAGTTCTGTTGTTTTTTTTTAGTGTTTTTTTATTGAGTACTATGTATACGGACTACTCATGATACCTTCATTTGTGTTCTTGGTGCAAAACTTTTAACAGAAAATTTTCATAATCAAATATCATACACATTGCAGTAAAAATGGAATGTTTCCATTTATATTTACATTGGAATATTGATTTCTCAAAAGATTTTGGTGCAACCTACTTACTTCTTTCAAGGCTATTCACAAAAGTGGGAACTTGTGCAGGGCTCTCCCCACACAGCGTGGGCATGTCAAGAAGCTGAAGTTTGCTCCAGGCAAGGGGAATATGAAAATATTGGCTCTTTTCACGGATGGCATCAGTGCCTGGAACGCTCAAGATGTAAGTAGTTTCATGGACTTCCCTTTGTAGGAGCAATATTAATAGAATTTGTTTAATCATCATCATCACTGAAGTGGATTCCATTTATTGAGGAAGTTCCCGAGCCTTGTAAAAATCACTCTTGTGCCAACTAGCACTGTATATACGATCTTCGTCAAATAAAACCCAAACAGCGGCAAGCTTTCATGATTTTGTAGTGGGCGCCATCTACTTATCACCATGGACAGGCACGCATATATATGCGCAGAGCTGCCCAATAGAATGCGCGCACCTGTCAATCATGATAACTGGACGGCGTACACTATACCATTGCGAAAGCTTGCCTTCACGATGTTCGGGTTTCACTTGACGCTGATAGTACATTGTCAATTTCAAAATGGTTGTGGTTTGTAATTATGTCGCTATGATCACGCCCCGCCGTCCAACCGAGGCTCGCGCACTGTGTTCGACGGGAGTCGTCGAACGCACGACCACATCTGTCTGACGCCAATGAAGAAAGAGTGCGAGGCACTTCGTTTTTTATTCTTCTTCATTTTTCAAATACATTATGTTGTTGGCTGAATAGCCTGTTTTACTACTCTGAAATCAGTTAACAGACGTTCTATCTTCATCACATCATCCCCTCCTTGAAGATAAGCTCTTTATTAATGAAATCAAAATAACACTGTTACATTATAAACAACAAACATGTCTGAAAATGTGGCATTCCCACACACAAAGTAGAAAAATCTTGATAAAAACAAAAAAGTCTAAAATAATGAAATGAAAAAAAAGAATACAATACGACAGACACATTAATACACAGCACAGAAAAACTACAAGACCTTGCATCAAGAGGCTAAAAACTACATATTGTAGCCCTTCTTTCATTTTTGAGGGTGGCGCTTGTGTACTGATTGTCCAGTTCCAGCGTTTGAATTCGTCTGTTCACTGCCACTGTCAGCTGATGAGGGCATTGTGTTACCTTCCTCCTCCTCGTTGCAGAAGTCTGCTGTGGTAGATGGGAGGTATTCAGGCGTTGGCACATCCATTTCAGTAAGAGTATTGTTGTGGGATATAATTGTGGCATTATCAGTTCCACCAAAGTGTTGTTCTGCAAGTGAAGAGCTTAAATAGCGAGCTAGTCCGGCATATGAATAATCAGTTAGTGAAAGGCATTCATCATTCTCTGAACGGGTGGAATTTGCACAAATTTTGAAATGTTCCAAGTCTTACCATCATTAATCAAAAGTAAGTTTTTACCACTCCTCTGCATGACTTCATGGGGTCATAAACCTGCTTGTACCTGTGTGTTATGACTGAACTTTAAAGGGCCAGTAAACAGGCCCCGACTTTTTTTTTACACCCCCCATACAAGCTCGGCAATTCGTAGATTAGGCCGCAGCAATCACGTAGCTGCTCTGGACGCCGCGCAGAGCCGCTATTTTGAAAAACAATTCTCGCGCATCTTTCTTACGCCTGACTGACCTCCTTGCACGCGCAGTGACGTCAATTCGGCGATCGGCGACGTGACGTAGCACGCAGCTCGCCAATTGCGCTAAATCAGGTGTGAAAAAACAGTAGTGAACGTCAGTTCCTGTTTCCACCCACACCTACGAAACTGACTCTTGTTCCTTGGCACTGCGTGCAATAACCAGCCTCGAAGTTCTCGCGTGCACGTGTACACTCCTCGCTCCACTACAGCACCTGTGCACACGTATGAACCTACTTCGCCCTTGACGTGAGCAACATGGGTAAAAAGCGTTGCTCTGTCGTCAGCTGCAAATCGAGCAACTGGGCAGCTAAGAAACATCGGCACCGGGTGCCTCACGATGGGGTCTTGCGCGCTGCATGGCTGAAGCGAATCGGCCATCCAGCAACGTATGTCGGGGACCTGATCGTTTGTGGTCGACACTTCGCACCTGACGCTTACACGGTTGACACGCGGCTGGTGCGGCAAACGGTAAACAAACAACCACGCTTCGCAGCAAGCGGAAGTGCGTTGCGACTGATCGAATTCGCCGATGAAGTCAATCGCTGACGTGGTGTCACGTTGCCAAAGTGGGTGGAGTCACGACCATGGGCTACATCTTCCCCTTCATCGAAGGCAGAAGGAGGGCAAGGCCGCGCCAAAATTTGAAACCAGCTAAGACTGATGTTGTAACCCGTGTATTTTCCTTAATATAGCACATATTCGCAAAATTCTTGCAGCAGCATGTTCGAAAAGAAAAACTGCTCATATATTTGTTTTTTAAAATTTTTCGACCTCAGGGCTGTTTACTGGCCCTTTAATGAAATCTCTAACTTTCACTGCGGGATACTTGGCGCCTCTACGTTTATCGACATAGGCTTTCATCTGCTGTGAGTTTGCAATTTCAAAAATATACCGTATATACTCGCATAATGATTGCACTTTTTTTTATATTGACTTCAACCTAGGGATGCGATCATTATGCACGGTAAATTTTCCGTGAAAAAATATTCCGAGCACCGAAATGCAAAAAAGTCACAACGACGTTCGCTGCCTCAGCGACAGTCCATTCCGCCGCATGAAGCGTGTCGTCCAGCCGGAACTGGCGTAGAAGTCCTGTGGCCAGCCTTCAGGAAACTGTGTGCGTCTGCGTCCGTATCATGTCTTACGACACTGCACAACCGTCCTTGCGCATGTCCTTCACATATTCGAGGACTGCCATTTCAATGTCAGGGAACTTGCCAGATTTGGGTCCGCGGAAAGCCCGTCGCGTGCTGTTAGTAGCCATGAGCCTGTCACGCTGTTTTTTGCAATATCGTATCCGGATTTCGTCGACGTCAAAATGTCTGCCGGCAACGCGGTTGCCGTGCTCTAGCGCGTAGTCAAGCGCCTTCTGCTTGAACCCGACAGTAAAGCTCGCATACCGCCCCATGGTAAAACGGCGCTTCAACAGACGATCACAAAGCACACAAAAAAAAATGTGGTCTCAGGAAAAAAAACATTGCTGTAGGATGAACACAGGTCGACCAACAAGCGGCCGCCGCTGTAACAGTGCGGGATGTCAAAACAAACATGGTGGCTGACGGAGGGCAGAGACCGCATTTTTTTTTCTTCTTTTCATCACTTATGGAGGTTGTGAGTACATCACCCGCGTCAAAACAGTTTCTTCTATTTAAATAAGGAATGCTTTCATTTAAATTAGTAAATTTATGGCATTAGCATAGTGGTGACTGCTTTCAGATCACAGAAACAATGATCACATCACAGAAAGAAATGGCACGTTTCTGCCAACAGTAGGCAAAAATTAAGAATATGTTTCGTGCGTGCAGTTTGCGAGTTTCATTCGACAGATAATAAAGGCGATGATCATCGGCTAGACTTGGCACACGACATATTGATGCGGCAAGTTCGGGGTGCGATCATTACGCGGGGGGAAAAAAATCGAATTTAGACGACAAAATTTAGGGGTGCAATCATTACGCAAGTAAATGCGGTATTGTCCTCTGATTTCTCTCCATGATGTCTATGTTACTCAAATCTAATTTTGTTCAAAGTTGTCTGCCATGTAAAAATACTGCAGGCAAAACTTCCATTGTGGCATGCGGGGAAAATAGATACGACACTAGATACTCGAGAATATTCTGTTTCACTGCTTTGCTCTCCAGCTGTGATATATGTATTGCTTCCTTCAGTACTCAATTAAACTATTCGGTTAAGCTATTGGATTTTGGATAATAATTCGATGGCTTGCAATGCTGAATGCCTCTTTCCTTTAGAAAATTTTGAAACGTTTTAAAAATGAATTGAGGGCAATTGTTGGTAACAATTTGACTGGCAATCCCTCTTATCTGAAGAGAGATTCAAGAAAATCTATGATGTCGTGCGATGTCATGGAGGAAGTGGAACATACTTCTGGCCATCGAGACTAATAATCCATAACAGTTACCGTATTTACTCGATTCTACCGCGCCCTTGATTGTAACACGCACCCGGTTTCCACAACGAAAAAAAAAAGTAAGGCATCGATTGCAACGTGCACCCATTTTTCTCGTTGGCCCGCACGATCACACCACTCGGGAAAACGACTCCTTTTCGCGAGCGTCTTCCGTTTAAATATGAGGTACGGGGGAAGCTTGGGCCTATATGACGTGCAAGGGAACATTGCCGTCACTCTAGTTTTACCGTGGCCCGATGTCAGCACGCGAACTTGCTTCACCCCCTTCTTCTCGACGGTTGTGGTGCCAGGCATGTCGAAGTAAAGAGGCGTCTGATTGGAATTCCCGATTTGCCCAAGCAGGTAGCCGTTGTTGTGCCGCAACTTTTGGCATATGCCCGTTCGCCTTCGGAGGGAAAAGCCTTTCCTCTTCATAAATTTAGTTAGCCAGCTCCTGCTCGTATTAACTGGCTCCGCATTAGCCTTTTTCTAAGGCTAACTGCGTAGCCTCTACTTGGAGCAGCTCTGTCGTCACGGGCCACTGGCTGCTCAAGCACATACTCGCCGAGTAGCTCTTCAATTTGCGGAAACCGACCCTGCTGTGGTCCACTGAAGCCTTTGTGTGAATGTTTGCTGTCGACAATATTCTGCTTTTGTTTCCGCCAGTCCCGCACACACGTTTAAGGAACTCCGAACGACCGCGATGCGGCCCGATTTCCGCCCGTTTCGGCACACGCGATGACATTTCTTTTAAAAGCGGCATCGTGGTTCACTTGTCGAGTTCTTGGAGTCGGCCCGTCCATGCCGTCGATGCTAATGCGCTACAAGATGACGAACTCCTCAGCACACGTACGAAGTGCCGCACATGGGAAACACATAGGCAGAAATGGCCGACGCGCCATGCAGACGCACGTAGGGGGCGGCCGTTTTGGAAATCCCGATGGCAATAGAATGACCGTATTCATTTTTTTTCATACTCGATTCTAACGCGCATGCGATTTATGAACTCGCTTAACCGAAAAAAGGTGCACGTTAGATTCGAGTAATTACGGTATTGCATAAGTTGGGCTTCGAAGTTGGGCTAGGTTGGTACCTGATGTACCAATGAAGCCCAAC